TTGCTGGTCGTTCTGAATCAGTGGTTCCAGAAACTCCGTGAAATATTACTGCCTCAAATGACTCGTTTCCCTGGGATCCTGAACATTTCTTTGCTGAAAGACACCTTCTCATACTTCCGTGCATTGAAGGGAAACTGCTTTTAGAGACTCTCTAAGTTATTTGTTGAATAGTAGTATGAGTTTTCCATCTTAGTTTTTTTCTATTTTGGTAGAAGAGAGTTCAAAATGTATTTGTCCTTCTGGTTTCAAGAAGTAAAAGAATGTGTTGACAGGAAGTTAATGGAGCTAACACTCAAGAGCTAAAGATGGCCTAAAATGTGTTTCATGTGAGGAAATTCAAGAAGGATGAGCTGGAGACACTGACGGGGATGTTTTTGGCTGACCTGTGGTGATGTTTTTAGTTGACCCTTGATTAAAAAATAGTGAGAAAGACCTGTTCTTAATAATCTCCAAATTATGCAGTTGTGAAATGAAATGAGGAACTTTGTGCTCCATATCATAAGTACTGATAATAGCAAAGCTCAAAATTCCCAGAACTCTTCTTTTTTGAAAAGTCCTTTTGTGGAAATACTGTATAATACCTTATGTATTATTTTTTATTCATTCAGCCTTATGTATTATTTTTTATCAGTGGGGAAATAGATTCCTATTTTGTTCCTCATTGACAATTTACTTATCATTGTAAAAAAATGTCTGATCCATATCTTTTAATTATCCATGCTTCACATCTATTTATTAAACACCTATTATGGGCTTAGGAAAAGGAAGCGTTTCAGAGGAAACATAAGACCTGGGATGTAGGACTTTGGGTAAACATGAAATACAGAATAGTAATTGTTAACTTCATTAGTTTCAGAATTATGTAGCACAGATTTACAGGGTGAATTAAGGGTAGAAAAGTTATAGAGTAAAGTCTTGTTAAATTTATGAGGTTTGCATAAATTAAGAAGTAGGAGGCCAGGGCATTCTGGATAAGAAGGAACACATGAGTAAAGAGATAGAAACTGAAATGAAAGAGGCACATGGATGGGACAGAATTCAAGGCCCATCTGTCACTGACTTATTTCCTCCTAGGACCCAGGCACAGAGGCCGGGTTCTCATTTCATTAGCTCACCACTCTATTTTACTTAGAGAAACATATTTAATAAATCAGAATATTCTTCTGACTGGATGTATTGGCAATACAAAAGTAAATATGTTGTATTTCTGATGTTTTTGAGCTGAAACACATTTGTGTTAGCTGGACCTTCAACTTCATTGAGGTCTAGACTTCCAGTTTTCTCCCCTAAGGGAAAACAATTTCAGAAGAATGTTACTGCACAGGCTCAATAATTCACTACTTTTGAAAAAATGCTTAACTTTAAATTACCACAAATAGAACTTTAAAATGTATTTATGACCTGTATGTTGGCAGGGGATGTTTTCTAAAGGAAAAAATGAGCCTTAGGAACAGGATTGGTTTGGGGATAAAAGAGAAACAGATAAAAAATACTTGACTTTTTTGAACCTTGGTACTTGAAGAAAATGAGGTCACTGACACAATGGGCTGCTTGTTTAGTTATGGTAGAGATAGCTGGGACTGCTGGTTTTAGAAGAAAGGAGACAAATTTGGGGGGAGACAGAATTATAAGATTACAGAAATCATTGCTTACAGACCTTCATATGCTACCTTCATAACCTGTAAAACACCTCCAAGAACTAGTTATAAGGGTTGGGATGCAGGCTAAGCCATTCTAACTGAGACTCAGCAGTACAGAAGCTTGAACTAATCAGGTACCCCTTTCCCTCTCCTGGAACTATACCTGAGTAGGCAGGTGGCCTGGGGCCAACGGGTGCTCCTAGGACCTGTCTGGTTGCTTTGCCTTGCACTAGGTGGACAGAGGTCCCTAGCTTGCCCCACTTTCATGCAGCCCACAGGAAGAGAGATGGGGGAAGCAAAGGCAAGTGATGTCCCTTTAAGCAAGTGATGCAGAAGGTGCCCAAACCCTGTCACATCCCAGAACCAAGAACTCGGTCACGGCCACACCCTGCTGTGAGGGAGGATGGGAGAAGTGGGCCACTGTGATCCCTGCTAAAACTGTGGCAGGAGGAATGTTGCTATTTTACTAAAAAGGGCAGTATTGGCTCCAATAGTCATTTCCTTTTGTCAAATAACTTTAATATCAACTTCAATCACTACCCAATGAGGCATATTACTCCATTTTAAGGTGACTGTGGTTATTCAGCACTTCTTACTTACACTGGGTAAAAATCTCTATCTGCAACAGCTACCTTCCAGCAGATGCCTTCCAGCCATCCTGAAAGGTCACATTTCTCTTTTCAGTGATAGCCTTCCTGATTTTGAAGCTAGCCAGCTTGTCCCCATGAGGACCTCTTCTCGGGCCAGACGTGCTCAGGTCCAACATATCAGTGATTCCACACCCCTCGCCATTGATGTCCCTTCTCCCCACATGCATGCACGTTAGTCAGCGTTCCTTCTGTAATGCAGTATCCCAGAATGAATCCCAGAATGAACACCTTCGCCCAAGCTTATCTGAAGCAAGAGAAAGAGTGTGCTAGGTATTCAACTTCTAATAAAGCTTGAGTGCTAATTAGTGCTGAGAGGCATCTCGTACATCTGTCTGCAGCAAGCAGCTCACATCACAGGGAGCAAGCTCATCATGCCAGAGGAAAAACTTGTCTTTTTCTAAGCCAATTGGAAAAAGTAAATACTTACTAATGGTTCTACTCAGCTACAGTCTATTTCTAGATTCCCGCCCGCACAAAGGCCTCCCTTACCCAACCCCTGTCACATTTAGCCTGTGTATTTCCCTTTATAGATTTTCCTATTCCCTAAGAGGAGGTATGTTTAAAATGAAACAGAGCTTGCAAAATAAAGGGTTAGAGGAACATTCTAGATTCATTCTATCCTTTCCTAAGTATTTTGCAATTGGGTTAAACCCTTCATGTAAAATGTTTTAGCTTCCACTTTGCTTTGCTGAAGATTCATTTCATGGCAACCCTAATTAGTTCCTTCCCAGACTCCTTGAGGAGCCAAATGAATGCTCTCCCAGGGTAGGATCCTTCAGCCTAACAGGCAGCCAGACATAAAGAATGCTCTACAAATTAGAAAATTGCTGGTCGTTCTGAATCAGTGGTTCCAGAAACTCCGTGAAATATTACTGCCTCAAATGACTCGTTTCCCTGGGATCCTGAACATTTCTTTGCTGAAAGACACCTTCTCATACTTCCGTGCATTGAAGGGAAACTGCTTTTAGAGACTCTCTAAGTTATTTGTTGAATAGTAGTATGAGTTTTCCATCTTAGTTTTTTTCTATTTTGGTAGAAGAGAGTTCAAAATGTATTTGTCCTTCTGGTTTCAAGAAGTAAAAGAATGTGTTGACAGGAAGTTAATGGAGCTAACACTCAAGAGCTAAAGATGGCCTAAAATGTGTTTCATGTGAGGAAATTCAAGAAGGATGAGCTGGAGACACTGACGGGGATGTTTTTGGCTGACCTGTGGTGATGTTTTTAGTTGACCCTTGATTAAAAAATAGTGAGAAAGACCTGTTCTTAATAATCTCCAAATTATGCAGTTGTGAAATGAAATG